CTCCACTTGTTCATTCGATGACTTTGTGCTGTTTTGTATCTCCCGCGTCCAAATTTTTTTCCAATCTCTGGAAAAGCTTCATATATCCAAAACTGCAAATAATTATAATCTTTTGTTATACAAATAAGTTATAAATAATATATATAAAATAAAAGAACAGAAAAAATTTACCTGGAATGCAAATGAATATCCTTTTAATGTATATTTGTAGTTTGATTGATTTTGTTCTGCTCTTTGCACCGTTTGAGCTTGTGATTCTTGCAAAGAATTTAACAAAACAGAATATGCTTTTCGACCCTATAGATAAGCAAGAAAGTCATCGAAGTGCTCAACCATACCAAGAGTCTTATAATCAATGCTTCTGCCAGTTGGTTTCAAAATACGCTCCACGAACATAACCAACCCCAACTTAAATTTATCTATATAGTCTTCACATAAATGGAATGCTTGATGCAACATTCTCATATTAATTCTTCTCAAACCATTGAAATATTGATTTATAAGACGATGATTATTATGATTAATCTCCACAGACGATTCATGACATGGTAATCCAGTAATGAGACAATATTCTTGCATACTAAATCTGGCAACACGATCACCTAAGCGTATCCACACTTCATTATTTTTACCACAGTGTATAAGCCTCATCACAAATTCATGTATCAACTTACTGTTAAATTGTTCTTCCTCTTCCCTATACATAACTCCCACAAAAAATCCATAGAAATTGTTGCACATAACAGAAGCCTGTTGATTTGCATCTATAAATTCAAAAAAATTCAGGAGATATTGCCGATTTGGATATTGACAAATAGTGGCAGGGAACCATTGATCTGGAGAGACAATATATTCAAGAGACATCTGTATAATAAAAAAAATACACAAATTTATATTTATAAGAAATTTTAGCTCTATATTAGATGATTATGACAAAAAAAAAAAATACTAAAGCTCCAGGACTTTATACATTAGGTAGAATGCAGGCTTATATGAATAACTAAGACTATAATTTTTCCTCCATCTTATTTTCCTTTTTTCTGCTGTTGAAAATTTTACATTAAGAGTCAAATCTAATATATTTATAGGATTCTACTTCTTCAAATTGAATTTTATTTGTGAAGGTTTTTCTTCATAAATTATAGTTACAATTGAACCCTTGTCACCTATAATTCATAGACATTTTTCCATGTATACATAGTAATCCCAATTATTTATACATATACAACTTCTTGAGTTTTACATGCAAAGCCTTGTCGCATAGGTTAGATTATTTCAAGTTTTTTCTTCGAGGAGGACACGGAGAGGGCTTCTCCGTGTGCCTCTCCGTACACGGAGAGGTCAACTCTCCGTGCACGAGAGGCAGCCTCTCCATGTACGGAGAGATGCCGAACAACATTTTCTTTTATTCAACAATAGAAATCTTACCTTGCAACCAGTTAAAATGTTTCTCTCTATTCTCTACTTTGAAAACTCTTTCTCTCTTGCAAAAATGTGTAGAATTGGTAAAAAGTTAGTATGATTGATAAGATAAATGGTATAAGATTCTTCACATGTGAATATGAATTCTCGTGACTTTACACTTTTAACTTTTAGTAGTTGAAACAATAAATCAAGATAATAATTGTAGGAATGTTATTTTCTTGTTATGTGAGTTAGTTGAAATAATAATTGTAGGAAATAAATTCTCTTTTAACTTTTTTGTTTTTTTGTTTAACATACTCATTCACATTAAAATAAACCAAAAACTAATTTTATCAAATTTGTCACAAAATATATCATCAATATCTTTTCTCAAAACTCTTTCTCATCATACCACTCATTATCTTTCTACACAGTTTACTTAGTATAAGGTATGTAGCGTATAAAACCTATTTACACAAGCTATTGAGTTACTCTAACACGATGAAATTTTACACATTGTCAGATATCTTTATTTTAGTTTTATATAGTACAAAAAAAAGAGTTCATATTATTTTAAATATCTTACTTCTAATAATTAATTGAGTTCATCTCATGAGTACTACAACTTTACAAGTAATCCCTATACCAGTTTACAAGTAATCTTCATACCAGGTATGGCTATAGATTAGATTTTACAATATATTACTACTGGTAAATATAATAATATAAAAATAGAGATATCTTCTTCTATTTTCGATTGGTTATCTCATCATCAAAAGAAATCCTCCAATTTACAAGTCATCTCCATGCCAGGTATGGCTATGGATTAGATTTTACAGTAAATATCCATATAAAAAATATAAATGATATAACTCTAGATGTCTATGTATATCTTCTTCTATTTGGCTTGGTTATCTCATCTCATAAAAAAAAAAAAAATTCTCCCAAAAGTTCCTCTTTGTCTTCATCCTATTTATGAAAACATTGTCATCAACAATGGAAGAAAAATACCAACTTATACCAGAAATTCTATCCAATAATCAAAAATGAAAAGCCAAAGTACTTATTGTAGAGAAACAATCACCGAAACCTTCAAGACAAGGCAATGGAAGATACGAACACATGATGCTAATGGATACTGACGTAAGTTATACAACGATTTAGTATTATTTTTCCTTTTTCAAAACAAATATATTTTCTCTCTTTTATTATTATTAAAATTAAATATTAAATAAATAAATAAATATTTATATACACAATCTTACACTAATCAATTTTTATCTTTTAATCTATCAGTGTAACACTATCCAAGCAAGTCTATATGATTCAAATATCATTGCTTTCGAAAATCAACTTCTCCTTGGAAAGACGTATGCAATTTCTAAAGCTTATATTAAAAACAACACTGGAAACTACAAATATTCAACAGGAGCTCTACAATGGACGATTTTTGGACAAACTCGTGTTGAAGAGTTGAATGACAATAACCTAGAACTTGTTTTTTTCAGCTATCACCTAACTTCTTTCGATGAAGTTGAGCAATTCATGGATACAAACACTGCCATAAGTAAGAAATTTCATCTTTATTTTCAAAATAAATAATACTATTATATATAATTTAATCAAATAATTATAATTACAGTCAACACGAAAATAATTTATTTATTTTTCTTTTTGCAGACATTTTGGCTATTCTGATTGATATGATACCTAAATGATTGATTTAATCAAAAGATGTCAACCAAACTTAGGTACAAGATGTAATACTTGTGGACCAAAAATTCAGAACAATGGTGTTGATAATGTGGGATTCTTTTGTTGGCAGAGAATGCAAATTATTCTCAGAAAATATTGACAAAAAATCAGTAATCTTTGCAACAAATCTAAAAGTCACCTCTTTTTTCGATAAGTTTTTATTATTTTTTCTTATTTAAACTCTGCTTAAAATTGTATTTCTTATTTTGCATCAATGAATTGAGTAGGTTTAAAACTCTCCACAAAAGGTCATAGTACATTTTTCGTGAATACTCCTTTCATTGCAGTAGAAGAATTGGTTGAATGGTATGTATGTATATCCTTCAGTTTACATTTATTTTGGTTTTATTTGGCTCATCTACTCTTTCATTTCTTTCAGGAAAGATACAAATTTGGACAAAATCGATGAGTTGATTTTGAAAAAGCTATACACTCAAAAATTTCCCACAAAATTGTCTCTTCCAATGCGCAACAAATTCACCTTAATTCAAAATCTACAGGGTTGACTTTTACCGGTATTTATATATCTCCGTACACAATATATTATGATTTCTATTTATGTTTCTTTATAAATTACAATTTCCTTTTTCAGAGAAAATTTTATTGGGTGAATGCACTGCAAAAATGGAAAAAATAGATAAAAAATGTTGGTATATGGCTTGCAGCAATTGTTATCGGCGATCAAGCGCTGATTTTGGTGAAACATATGTTTGTATTTTCTGTAGAAGTTCCAATTCCAAAGTTATTCCTCGGTAAAATATATTTTTTCACACCTTTCTAATATATATATATATATATATATATATATATATATATATAGTTTCTTACTATATAAATAAATAATTACTCTCTTTATCTCAGAGCAAGAGCATATGTCCAATTATCAGATGTCACAGGATGCATAAATGCAAGTGCAATTGGTGAAGCTGCAGAAAAACTTATGTTCACAAATGCACAAACTTTGATGGAAGAAACAAACTTTGTAATAATTTACAGTCTTCTCTAATCTCTTTTGATATATTTGATAAATTTCTTCATAACATTCATATTTTTTATCCACTTCACAAGCAGATTTTGGAGATATAATTGGAAAAATGCAAAATACTGAAAGAGCATTCTATCTCAAAGCGATTCAAGCAGAACCTAATTCATCCAATTACAAATTTGGCATCATCTCTGTCGAATGTTTAATTGTAGATGAAGAACAAGATTGTCAAAAGAATATTAATTCTGAAAAGAATTTGGATAATTTTAACATGGATGCAAACGCAGATGACAATTGCTCCCCTCCAGCCAAAAAAGCTCTTTTCAAATCAGCTACTTACCAGTCAGAGTTAGAAAGTGCCAGCTCAAATCCATTTATACTGGACAAAATGAAAGAAAAAATAGAGTAAAAAATGGAATGAGCAGTATTATCTTTAAAAAACAGGCTAAGTTCATTTTGCATAATATTGTATATATTTTTGGTCTACCTTATGGTTAATTTATAGCTTTCAATGAAATTACTTTCTCTTCAATTTCTCATTTTCAACAACTTAAAACACTTCTTTTTTTAAATACTCGACATATTCCACGCTAATAATAACAAAATCTATACAAAACTCGTGCATCGCACGAGGCGGAGACTAGTTATTAGAAAACATTGATGAAGAAAATTAAGTTAACATTTTATTCACTTCAACGTTTCAATAATGTGATACCATTTATAGCTTAATAAATATATTTATTCAAGAAATACACTAAAAAGAGTTACAAACTATATCCGAAATACCACTTAAATTAATTAAGATTTGCGGCCCTAATCAAGAAAATTAAAAGGTACATCTGCAAATTAGTTGAAATTATAGAGTTTCAAATATAAGAGGAAGACCTTGCATTGGCCTAAGGGACAACATAATAGAGGGAGAATGGCAGTAATTTGGTGAAAGATAAAAGGAAAACCTAGTCAAAATTAGGGTCAACACAATTTTGTACTCCATATTTGTCAAATTCCTACCAACACACATTCTTCCTCCAAATCCAAATGGCAAAAATCCCATTTTGTGATTGCAGCCTCCATACAAATTATCCTCCTTAAATCTTTCTGGTTTGAATTCATTCACGCTTTGTCCCCAAAGATTTTGGTCATGGTGAATTGATACAACATCAATCCACATATTTGTACCGTTGGGAATTACAAGGTTGTCCACTTCAATGTCTTGTCTTGCTTGTCTTTGTATATTGGGAGCTGGAGGGTATAAACGTAAAACTTCATTCAACACCCACCCCATCTGCATCAAACATAAAACAAATAAATTTAAGGCTTATAATCTTAGAATAAATTTGGGCTATGTTTGAAATTTCGTATGCTCAATTAGACTTAGCTCCTATTTGGTTTGGATTAAAATTCAATTAAAATTTCAAGTCAAAGTTAACAAATTAATTTTAATCACACATTTTGTCGATCCACAACTTTTTAATCACAGATTTCAACAACTTTTATTAAAATATACTAAAAATCTGATTTTAATCTCTACCAAACATGAACTTAAAAGTAGATGAAGACACTTATTTTTGCATTTTTAATGTGAAGAAGAAATGTTCGAGGACACTTTTATTAAAATATACTAAAAATTTGATTTTAATCTCTACCAAACATGGACTTAATAGTACATGAAGGCACACTTGTTTTTTGCATTTATAATGTGAAGAAGAAATGTTCGACGACGCTTGCAAGAACTATAAGGAATCCTTAATCAAAATCTTTTAAACACACAATAATATTCACAATCCACGTTTTAAAAGAATTACGAATGATTAAAATTTTATTTTATGTTAATTTTTTTTTTTATCTAAAATTTTAAATTATTAGGGATGTAATGCAAGAGATGCATGTATTTAGCTAAATTATCCTAGTACAAATAATTTAAATTTCATCTCAGAGTGTTTTTTTTTTTTTTTTAAATGTCTCACGAATATATAATTTTCATATATGGGTTATGACAAGACGAGGTCTTATATTCTAGGTATGTGTTTGTTATTCTGTTGAATTACCTAGGTTATGTTTAGTTTAATTAAAAAGTTGATAAAAATCTCAGCTTTAACGTAAACAATTAATTTTAATGGATCACAAATTTATCAACTTCTCAAAAACACATTTCATCAGATTTTAGAATAATCTAAGAAATTTTAATTTTAGCTAAATCATATAGGGACTTATACCCTATTTGTTCACGATTTAAATTCAAATTATAATCTAAATCAAAATCAACAATTAATTTCAACTACTTATTTAATGGGTACCACAACTTTTTAATCACACATTTCATTAACTTTTATCAAAATCTATTAAAAATCTGAATTTAACCCCTACAAAATAAGGGCTTAATCTGCAATCTTAAATGTAAATTATATCATTTAATTTGATATAAAATATGAATTAGATTTACAGATAATAAGTTTTCTGTAGAAAATGTTTTTTGCAAGTTTCTTTATTTTCCCATCATCCGGTTATGTTAAATTTAAAACGTTGAAATAACCCGTTTGGTCTCTATTAATTTTCATTTCATTATATTTCATTTTTCTCTCTCTAATTTTTAATCACATAATCTTCCATAAAATAATATTACACGTAAATCAAAATTTTTTCTTTCTTTTTCAACCACTCATTTTTCAAAAAAATACTATTTCACCCATTGTCATTTCCACAAAATGAGGGCCAAACAAAATGGGGCCGAACGGGAGAAAGTTAACATGCATGCATGATATTTTGGAAGGACAATGTTACCTTCTTTAGTCCAGCAATATTTGCTGCATCAATTTCTCTATTTCCAATCACTTCTCTGATTTCTTCTCTCAGCTGATTTTGCCACTCACGGTGCTGCGCAAGGAGGAGCAAAGTCCATGTCACCGCCAATGCGGTGGTTTCATGGCCGCCGAAGAAAAAAGTTTTGCACTCGTCAACCAGTTCCCTGGTTGTTAAGGCCCGTCTTCCGGGACGGCTGTCCACCATATTATCTGCCAGCAGTAGGCCGAGCAAGTCCTGCTGAGGATGATGCCTTTTGCTGGATTTGCTTCGAGCTGTGATTATGGATAAGAGAAGGGCATCAATTTCCTTACCAAGTTTTCTGGCCTTTAAGGTTTGTTTAGGGCTCATGAAGTTGCTAAAGGGTACCCCTACGAAGCGGTTGGACTTGAAAAGAGTGATTTGCATTTCTCTTAATTTCTCTACCACTTCTCTTCCATTTTCGTAACTTATGCCAAAACTTGTTTTCGAGATGATCTCTCCAGCTGTGCTTGTGATTTCCTTCTCAACGTTGATTTCTGGCTTGCCGGAGTTGATTAGGTCAGTCCAGCGGTCGAGCATACTCGTCACCGACTCAACCATTAAGTTTGTCATACCCTATTTAATCAGAACACAAGTAAAAAAAAGTAAAGAAGTTAGCCACGGATATCAAATTTTTTATTGTCTAAATTCAAGTCTTGTCACTAACTTGTCTAGATGTGTGTCACATGATAAAAAAGGAAATTGAGTATGTTATCAAGAAAGAACATGTTGTAAACAAAATTCATCAAGTAGGATTCAAGAATGTACAAATGTCACTTTTGAATGGTGTGAGTATTACGCATTTAAAGGACTTTTCCATATTGCTAAAATGGGTGGTAAGAAACTCTAAGGTATGGTTAGAAAAGTTTATTTTGGGTAACGGTTTATGTCAATTTAAATGTGTGGTAGAAAATAAAGTTTGATCAATTTATAAATGATTTAGAAATTTGTTAAACAAATGTTCAAAGTATCCTCAATAAAAAGACAAAATTTCTACGTGAAAATATTTATAAGAAGATTATACCTTCAAGTTGGCAGGAGAGAATGCCGGAGTTATAACACGTCTGTGATGAACCCAGTATTCGCCTTCAACCATTAAAAGACCATTGCCAAACATTGGTTCTCTATCATTCTTAAAAACAGTTGGCTTTCCCCAGGCTTTTCCTACTACATGAGCAGTCATTTTCTTTAGAAATTCAGGGTCTGCAATGTATAGAAATGGCTCTGTCCCCAGCCAGTGTATGAATACTTTTCCTAGAAAATGAACAAAAGTATCGAAAATCAGGACATTAGCGTCGGAAAATTCCGACTCCGAAGCTGCAGTATTTTGTAATGAGTTCAGTGTAGTTGAATTTACATTACCAACAAACCGTGCTTACCATGCGATTTCTGCCATCGAGCAAAGTATGGAAATGCAGCAGAGTGGATATCATGGGATATGATGCAGGAAGATGCATATTTCTTCTCATTTTTCATATCATTTAAGTTTCCAAAAGGGAAACTAGGTTTTGGCCCAGAAAAGCCATTGTCCTTGAGCTTTTTATATGCCAAATTAGGCAATATCCACCATGAAAATAATAACCTCCCAATCATAATGGCAGACATGGCCAAAGTAATACATACAAAATATTGAAGTGATAATTCCATCTCTCTCTCTCTCTCTTAAATATTTCTCTTGGGAGCAAAGATCTTGATTTGTCTCTCTTGTGTATCAACAGGAGAGCAGCAAGGGGTATTTATAGGGACAAAAGGAAAAGGAGAATGTCAACGTTGACCAATGAAAATATATAGATTAAAATTTGGTCAAACTCAAAAACGGCTGATTCAACCGACTATACATAGTTGGCACATTTTTCATACCCCACATGCCAAAATCGTGTTTTTGATTGGTTTCTTCTTAATCCTTGTTTAGTTGGAATTAAAATTCATATTTTATTCACATATTTCATCAACCCCATAATTTTTCAATCATACATTCTATCAACGTTTATCAAAATTTATTAAGCCCCTATTTATTTCCCATTTTTTCCCCATTAAAATGAAAAATAGATCATAATCCATCACATTAAACTACCAAATTTGAATTTTTATTTTTTTGTGTGGGGCCCATAACGGCCATATTTTTCATTTTCATTTTCATTTTTACAAAAAAGGGAAACAAATGCCCTCTAAAAGTCTAATTTTAATCCCTATCAAATAATACCTTATTTTGCGTCCTATTTGAGCCCTATTTTTCTCAAAACTCACTTTTAATCACATATTTTTTGATAAAATAATTTTACACGTAAATTTAAAATTTTTATCTATTTTTTTAAACTTTACATTCATTAAAAAACCACTATTCTAAAACACATTGCCCGAAAAAATGAGGCTGGCTTAATTCATTGCCTTGATCAATAGACAACATGTGATACAGGCAATTAATTGTATATTTTGACTGTTGATATGTTTCAACCAAAACTTGAAATGCTCCGGCCACCATTTTTCATGGCTCAACGCTTGGAATTACTATATAAAGTCAAAGAATCAAAAAGGAAATTTGGAAACTTTGCAGAGTAAAAATGTAAAATTCAAAGATCAATATTTCCTTTTTTGAGGAAAAAAAAGTTGCAGTCACAATGGGCAACCCGTATATTTTTACTAAAAAAAATACGAAAAAATAGGGTTAGCATCTTCAACTTTCCATTAGTTGATGCTTAAATTTGATTGATGATTTAGTTTCTTTAAAATCACTACTATTCCATTAATATAAACTAATATCAAAAGACTAAAAAAAACCAAAAACCAAAAAAAAAAGGAAAAAAAAAAAGGAAAGAAAAGAAGAAGAAGAGAAATCTATTAAATAAACAGAAGGAAAATGAAAATAAAAAATCTTTTAATCTCATTTTGATTATTTCTTTCTTTCTTTTAACATTTAGTTCATACTTTAGGCATAGTAATTATTTAGATAAAATTCAATCTAATAGAATTTTCCCAATTTTTTAGTTAAGTGACTGGGTAATACTTAGAATAATATTGTATTGGTGAATGATCAAACATGGCCTATCACCACCGTCCAATAAAATTGAAACGATTAAATTAAGATTAATATGGTATATATCTCCTTAATGATGACAATCACAAATAATGAAATAGTTTTTATATCCAAAATGTTAATTTATTACTTCATTGATTTTTATTTTTCGAGAAGAGATTTTGAAGAAAGTGCATTTTTTTTTTTAAAGAATGTATGATTAATTAATATGAAAAAGTGATGAACCTACGTGCAAAATTATTTTAACAATTATCTTAGTCTCCATTAAGATTGATTTTCAATTACGGATTCCTCCCTTCTTAACCATATTATATTTTTATCTCCTATCTTACCTTAGGTATTTATACTACAATATGAAACTATAGAGTAATATTTACTATCCACGTTTATCCTTTTTTTCCCTCATTTCTTAAGAAAATTTTATTAAATGCTGACATCATTTTTAGTTAAAATAAAAATTATTATACTTATGTAATAATATTTCAATAAAATTGTATTTTCTTTAATCTTTAATTTTCGTATTCATAATAATTATAGAGATGACAATGAGCCGATCTAGCTAGGGCAACCCTCCCAGTTCCTTGCCTCACTTAAAGTTTGGACAAAGTCTAGGTGTATGGGGATTAAATATTCCAATTATAATCTCGTTAATAAACAATTTAACTTCAAAATGTAAAAAAATAGTAATCGATAATTTCAAGAGGGGGCAATAAGAGGCAAGATGAGGTGAGGGTTGGATATTTTGCCATCCTTAATCAATTGTACTATATTAAGCCCCCGTTTGAGTCCCATTATTTCTATTGATGTTAACGAGATTATAATTAGAATATCTAACGAGATTATAATTAGAATATTTAACGAGATTAAGTTGAATTAATATTTCTATTGATGAGATTAAGTTAAAATTAACATTTCTGTTTTTATCTTTGAAGTAATAAGATTAATTTTGACAAATATATTAAATATAATAATTTGTGGAAAATTTAATTTTTTTTTAAATATTTAGCATAATAGAAAATGGTAAAATGAAAAATTTGTGCAAATATGGGAGGTTTTTGTAATTTTCGAAATCATAGCCAGTGTCTGAAATTATCGTAAACATTTGGGGAAGTTTTTGAAATTTGAAGTAATAAAATAACCAATGAAATATATTAGCACCAAAACATTATTAGACACATTATTAGAAATAATTAATGAAGAAAATTAAGTTAGATTTTACTCCCTTCAACGTTTCAATAATGTGCTATATATCAAACATGCTCTCAAATGATTAGTTAATCTTTGAACGTCGAGGGAAAAAAAATACCATTTATAGCTTAATAAATATATTTATTCAAGAAACACACTAAAAAGAGTTACAAACTATATCAGAAATATCACTTAAATTAATTAAAATTATGCAGCCCTAATCAAGAAAATTAAAAGGGCCGGCTGCATATTAGTTGAAATTATAGAGGTTCAAATATCAGAGGAAGACCTTGCATTGGCCTAAGGGACAACATAATAGAGGGAGAATGGCAGTATTTTCTTGATATTTTTATAGACTTGGCACGAAACACTTTAAGGCCTTATGGTCGATTTCAATATTAAATCTTTCGGGATGGACCTTTGTGTCAAATATTTTAAATCCTTCGAAATGGACTGTTAGATCGAATATGTTAAATCTTACGGGATATGAGAATTCTTAAGAAATTCCTTGAACTATTGGAATCGCGACCAGTTTACTCTAAATCTAAGAAAAGTAGGTATGTTATGCCATTTTATGATTATATCATGTTGATAAGAATATCCACGTATTTCTTATTGAGTTTTTTTTTTTTTAATACTCGCTCTTACAATAACTTTTTTTAGATTAGAACGGATCGCGTGGACATGTAGCAGATTGACCGAGTGATGCTTATGGGATCGCAAAGTAAAAGCTTTAAAAAGGATTTTTGCCAATTTCTATTTCAAAAATAAGTTTATGAATAATTATATGTTTAATCCCGTGCATGTTATTTTAGAAGTTTCGACATTTAAGTTATTTAACATGTTAAATTGACAATTTAATTCGTAGTAATTTAAGCTAGATAAAATTCAAATTTTAATTTTGAATTGTTGAATTCACATTATTGATTTATTAATCAAATATCAAAATTTATACATTAGTGTTAAATTTAACTTAAACTATAAAAGAAAGATTTGGTAATACTTCAAATCTTAAAAAATAAAAATAAAAATGTAATTGATTTGGGGGCGTTGCAAATTAAAGTTTGGTCAAACTACATAACGGCTGATTCAACCGACTACAAATAGTTGGCACATTTTTTATACATAAACTCCAACCATATACCCCACGTGCCAAAATCAAGTTTTTGATTGGTTTTTACTTAATCTTGTTTGGTTCAGATTAAAATTCAAATTTTAATCACATATTTCATGAACTCCATAATATTTCAATTATACATTTCATCAATGTTTATCAAAATTTATTAAAAGTCTAATTTTATTCCCTATCAAACAATAACTTATTTTGCATCCTATTTGAACTCTATTTTTCTCAAAACTCACTTTTAATCACATATTTTTCAATAAAATAATTTTACATGTAAATTCAATTTTTTTTAATCTATTTTTTTTAACTTTACATTCTTCAAAAAATCACTATTCTAAAACACATTGGCCGAAAAAATGAGGCTGGCCTAATTCATTGCCTTGATCAATATACAACATATGATACAGGCAATTAATTGTATATTTTGACTATTGATATGTTTCAACCAACATTTGAAATGCTCCGGCCACCATTTTTCATGGCTCAACGCTTGGAATTACCATATAAAGTCAAAGAATAAAAAATGAAATTTGGAAACCTTGCAGAGTAAAAGTGTAAAATTCAAAGATCAATATTTCCTTCTGAGAAAAAAAAAATGCATTCACAATAAGCATCCCATATATTCTTTCTAAAAAAATATATGAAAAATTAGGGTTAGCATCTTCAACCTATCCATTAATTGATGCTTAAATTTGATTCGTGATTTAATATGTGAATTGTGATGAATTCGGGATTTCATGATTCGTGATACACGTTCAATTGGTGTTGGAAATTGGAAATTGATGATAATTTGAAATTAAGTTTAATTTTCACATAGAGTATGTACGATTTTTTCAATCAAAACAAAAGTTCCAACCTAGTATTTATAGTGATACATCTAGTCCCGCCACTGATTCTAATCGAGTACACGAGTTTGTCATTGATAACACAAAGAAATCTCAGACTCAATTCAACGTGGATGATCTAATCTCACTATTGTGGTTGTTGAAATTCGACTGTCATTGATCTAGGGTAGTTATTATATATATATTTGTAGTTATTATTACTCCTGTACACTTTAAGTAAGAAATGTCATATGTTCTATATTAGTTGGTTAGAATATTCAAATCACTGAATTAATTCCCTTTTTTTTTTTCTTTTTTTTTAAGGTACTAAAATTCTACATAACTTCACATTTTTCTATTTTGTATTTCAATTAGTATTTGTTTCTAATTGAGTTTCTCTATTGGACCTTCATCTAGGTTCTTAATTCAGTTTGAAAATAGATTAAATTATGTTGAAATTTGTTAATTTCTCAAATTTTTACATTAACGTAATCCTTATTAGAAACTATTGCGTGTATTTTTAGATTCCTATAAACAACATATTCGTTAGTGCTTAAATAAAAATAAATCACTTTTTACGATGCCTTATAAGTACGGACCACTGTGAAATAAGAACATATATTAAAATAGGTGATAATAATAATAATAATAATAATAATAATAATAATAATAATAATAATAATAATAATAATAATAATAATAACCCCGCTTATTTAACTTCTAATATCGACCTAAGTTGTATTTAATCACATTCTTTTCATTATTATATTGAAGCAATCTCCTCTTGAGGGGACGAGATCAAATTTGAACTCATTATCGAATTCTAGACATGGAGACGGTCCATTTTTTTCTTTAACGGCTAGAGTGAGTTGTCGAAACTTTGAAACTAAAAAGTCAAATGGTTAGAATTTAATACATAATTACTATTGAGATAATAGGCAATGTTGTGTTTCATGCAGTGGTCCATTATTTTTTACAACAATACAAGTATGGTGCCACCTTCTCTTGATCTTCCTTGACTTCAGAAGAATAACAAATGAGAAATGATTTACGACATTGGAGTAAAATCGGGTGGGGTAGAGGGGTTGGGTTATGGGGATGTAGATTAATTTTATTTTATAATATTAATATTAATATTAATATTCAAAAGTTGAATAATTATCTGATTTTTTTAACAAAAACCAATTAAATATGATTTTTGAATTCGAAAGTTAAAAATCACATAATGTGTGGGTGTAATTTCCATTTTTTTCTTTTGAAAAAAAAAAACATTGAAAATTTGGTTGAGCCCATGTGAAATGGCCATTTTTGCCCACATTTTTTTTTTTTTTATAGTCAAAAGTCCTTTATTTCGATTTGATTATTACACAAAAAATGACAGAAAAATTATTATTTCATTTGTTTTTATTTATTTCTTCTTTTATTCAATTATAATTAAGAAATATTCTAATTTAACTTTTAATTCAGCCGACCTAAGAACGAGTAGTATAAAAATTGAGGGAAAAAGTACTTTTCTCTAGGTTTGGGCAAAAAAATCAAAAAATCGACCAAAACAATCATACCTCGGTTTGGTTTGAGATAGTTAATTGGTTTGGTTTATTTTTTAAAGAAAATCATGATAGGTTGATTCAGCCATGGTTTGAAGCCTCAAACCGGTGGTTAATCGAACCAATCCAACCTATTTACCTCTTCTTTTTTTTTTTTTTTTTTAAGAAAAAAAAAGAGGGGGGGGGGAAATGACAAGAAGATATTGTAAAAATCAAAATAGGTGGTGATGATGATGATGATGATGATAATAACAATAATAATAACCCCGCTTATTTTACTTCTAATATCGGCCTAAATTGTATTTAATCACATTCTTTTCATTATTTTATTGAAGCAATCCCCTCTCAAGAGGACGAAATCAAATTTGAACTCATTATCGAATTCTAGACATGGAGACAGTCCATTTTTTTCTTTTACGGCTAGAGTGAGTTGTCGAAGCTTTGAAACTAAAAAGTCAAATAGTTAGAATTTGGTACTTAATTACTATTGAAATAATATGCAATGTTGTGTTTCATGCAGTGGTCCATTATTTTTTACAACAATACAAGTTTTGCTTGAGGGTGTTTAATTTGTGAACTGTTTCGTGTATTTACTATTTAATTTTTGTTGTATATTTATTGAAGAGGAGAGGAGACGAATTTATGAACACCAAATGAAACTTGAGCAATAAAATCAGTATTAATGAAGAAGGCTGGAAACTTGAACCAAGAAACAAATATAACTTCTGAAAAATGGAGAAATGAAACATGTATAGAATAACTTTAAAAAAGAGATTGTTGACCCCTCGGTTAGAGATTGCTTTTGGATTCCCTCAGACAAATAACTTTAACGAATATGACAAGCCTTTGGTGAGTTCATACAAAGTAAAAGTGAAAACTAATGAAAGGAACTGTTTACTAAATCACAATCACAATCTCGATAAGTTTTTTAGACTCCATCAAGTCAGGACAGAGGGGGTTAGGGTTCTCCTATCATAATATAGATGAAATATAAACAAATACAATGAAGGGGGCCCCCAGGGCACATCTCCAAGTGGTAAAAGGGGAGGGTGAAGAAATCCATCTTTGCTTGAGATCGCCGCGTCAAGGGTTCGAATCCTGAAATATGGATTTGGCTCTTGGGTAAGTACAAGTGTACAAGCAGCCTCTCACCCTGTACTCTTGGAGATATAACCTGCGATTTACCTCCCTCATGATGCTTCAGGACAGGGGCGATGGGGGACCCTTAAGGTTGGGGTTCAACCTTTAAATACAATGAAGGGGACATAAATCTGACCTCTAAAAGCATAAAAAATGAAAGCAATAAATGAGGGGTAATAACACCTGTAAAATATTGAGAATGAAACAATAAAGCCTAAAGACCTCTGAAGGAAAGAAGTCCTAAATTGTACAAAAGCGTGAAATCATCGGGGAAAGTTGAGAAGATCATACTCCTGATAGCAGTGTTGGTGCTATCCCTCTCACGTAAGTGAGTTAACAACCTGGTTTCAATCACAATAGATGTGAGAAATAGTGTCATACTTAAAGAAAAGTAGATTTCTGATATATCTAAAACTAGCTTGGATGAACAACGGATCTCCATCATGGGCGATGCAATGCACAGCTAGATACGAGTAAGCCTCTATCCACAAGTCGAAAAGTTCAAGTCGAAAAGCAAGAAGGATCTTATAAAAAACGACTCACAATTCTGCCTCAAGTATAGGGCAGTCACCGTAAGATAAAAAGAAGACACGACTACAGTGTCCAGATTGATCACAAATGATACCCCAGTTGTAAGCAAAATCACCATTGACGCCCCTATCAATGTTGAACTTGTAAAATCTCATCAGTGGAGTATGCTAGAAAAATAAAATATGCGGGAGAGGTGGGATAAGTGAGAGAAATACTAAAATGAGAGATAATATCCAAGTCACCTCACCAATGCCAAGTCGAAAAAAATGGCATGTATAAAGAGATAGATAGTAAGATAGATTTGTCAATAATCCTTTGAGGCTCCCTAATGCTCCATACCATTCTTTATAGTCATACTGAAGAGAGACTTGAAATATGCCTGAGAAATAACCCAATCCTGGTTTGAATTTCGCTGCCTTTGAATATGTGACCAAGCAACACTGACATCGAAAGGTCAGATGGCACCCAATCTATGGCTGAATCACAATGTCAATTAGGAGTAAGTCCGATCACAAACGCTAACAGAAGAAGGAGATCTTTGATGGTAATAGAGCTTCAGATGACTCTATAGATATCTAGATGAGATTGGCTCAAGCAAACAAGCCAATAGCATACTAAGTAGAGAAACTACTATTCGATGCAGCATTCTACATAATACGATCAGTAACATCTTAGAAAAGTGGTATACACTTAATGTTTAGCTATATGAGATGGAAGGACATGTTATGTATCATCAAAGAAATCATAGATCCATACACCGATCAAAGAAAAAATCATAGATCCATACAAATGAGTGATGTCAACGTGGAAACAAAGTCTCAATGATAGTATCCACCATCCAACAATCATGCTAGAGATATATGTAACCATAACCCAACTACCACATAATATGTCTTTCCCTGTAAAGCAATCAAATTCAGCCACCATCAGTTGGGTAAGGTCGAATAAGGAACATATCAAAGGGTGAATGTCCAGGCATTATTTGCCCAACAAAAATTGAGCTGAAAATCACCGTTGAAGTAAAAAGAGCAACCAAAGCTTCAAGGAGAATGTGTCAACAATATTCTGCATCCTTCTAAAGTCTAAGCCACCTTTTATATAGAGAGTCAAAGGTCCTTCTTCTTCCTCCAATGCAAATAGACATCAATAAAGTAATATGGCTTAAGAAAACAGTAGCCTCAATGCCCAGCTCGATATCCTGCTCCAAAACTTCTAAATGATGTTATCATAAAGAAAGATATGTCTAACTGTTAGGTCCAATTAGACATGGGTAAGAAAAACGAAAAACCAGCCAAACCAATCAAATGGAATCAACTCGGGTCGGTTTGGGTCGATTTTGTTGGGTTTTGATACCCAATAACTCCCCGGGTTATGATGTAAAATCGGTTTTAATTTTCAGTCGGCTTGGACCAAATGACTGAATGAAATGTCAATGCCACTATTAGAAAGACCCAACCCCAAATTATATGGACCACTAGAATTGATCTAATTTAATAGTGTCGCTTGTGGCCCGTTTCACCTTTTACTTGGACGGCTTTATGTTGTTACCAATTTTGGAGCCCATTAACTTGAGTGTTGGGCCTTTGGGCCATGATCTTAACCTAAACCTAAACCTAACTTACCATTTTGGACTCTTTACTTGGGCTATATACTTGTCTCTTTGTTGCTTCCTATGAAGAAGGACCGCAGCCTCTGTTATTTCTTTCCATTTTCTCTGTGATTCTATTCGGTTGCTCTTCACCCGTGATACCTTTATGGTCATTTCATGTGTGGAATTAGTATATCTTGGTGAGCTCTTTGTGGGCAACTAAAGCAATCGTGAAGGGAAGAAACCGTTTAGGTCGATTGGGTTTGAGTTTGATAGTGGTGTTGATATTGGTGGTTAAATTGAGCCGGGAAAAACCTTGCATAAGGTGGATTTCATCCCTACAATTGGTATAAGAGCTTGGTGGTGGTGAAAATTTGGCCAAAAAACGACCAAAAACCGGCAGAAATCAGCAGAAAATGGATTACCCAGTTTTTGCACCAAAAAATTCACCTCAAATGCGATTTCCCGTCAATCCAGAAGTCCATTAGTGAAACGGAGACCAGGGTTGAGACGTGCAGGTGGAGACGGTGCTGGGTGTGTGGCGCGTGATCCAGAAGGCGATGCGTGGCAACTCCGACAAAGGCGCGTGGTTCCGATTCTAGGGAAGTTGTCTTCAGGCAGTTTGTTTCTCATATTATTTCTAACATTTTTCGTGTTGAAAGTTTTCTGTTTCAGGTTACACAGAAAAAGTTGGACGATTTTGCCCTTGGTGGATCAATGGTTGAAATTGCCACTTATTTACCGAATTACTTTGGGCCAAAATTGCGACCATAAAGCAGTAAATTAGCATCTCTCGTAATTTACGAATTCAAACAAACTCACTCTAGTAAATTGGCTGAAACCTTATATTATTGCACTAGCAGATCATCGTGTGGGGGTGATCAATAGGATTGGGGGTTGTCATTGCTTGGTAACCATTGCTTGTGCTACAAAATAGGATTACTTGCTCTTAATTTTTGTGATTGAGTACTTATTTTTGGATAAATTAGCGTATTGTGTTTGTGCTAAAATTGCCATGAAATTTCATTTGATTTGATATATCTATTTTGTTGCATCGTAAATTTCGCTGTGTTGTTACTTTTGTTAGAATACCTAGACCTTACCCGTTCGAACGTTCCCTTGATCTAAGACCGCAAGTCTTACAAAATTCTGGGAATCTAGAACGGTGTATATTATGGCTGTAGGATTACTTTGTGTGATCTATTTGCCCATTTGATTGCTTCGTTTTTTCCCAAAAAATGTTTTCGCATTTCGACGTTGGTATTTTCAATGGAAAAGGTGATTTTTCAATCTGGCAACAAAAAATGAAAGGTATTTTGGTCCAACAAAAGGTTTTAAAAGCCATTAAAGGTAATTTTTCAGCTAATTTTTCAAAAGAACAAAAAGACGAAGTCGATGAGCTTGCTTATGCTTCAATCATTTTACACCTGTCTGACTCTGTTTTAAGAAAAGTAGAAAAATTGAAAACACAAAAGATCTTTGGAAAAAGTTGGAAGATCTGTATTTGCTTAAATCCACTCCCATTAAACTTTATCTTCTTAAGCCTTTTTTCAATTTTAAAATGGATTATTCAAAAGATCTTGATGACAATCTGGATGTTTTCAATAAACTTGTCCAAGATATTGTTAACAGTGAAGAAACCGTATCTGAAACATACAAGGCTATTATCCTGCTTGATTTCATGCCTGGGTCATATAAGGAAGTTAAAAATGTCATTAAGTATGGTAGGGATACGTTGACCCCCGAGATTGTCATAGACTCACTTAGGAATAAGGAGATGGAAATTAAGACTGAAACTGAAGATAAGAGGAATGGTGAGTTACACATGATAAGGAGTAGGATGAAGTTTAAACAAATGAATTTGGATAGAGCTCAAAATAGTGGTGATTTGAGTAGTGACTCGAGTGATGAAAGTGGTAAGATGAAGGGCAAGAGACGGGACAAGTTTAGTGGTAAGCGGTGTTATAGTTGTGGTAAAACTGGACACTTTATTAGGGATTGTCCCAAGAAGAAAGATAAACAGAAGGGTTATGTGAGAGATGAAACGAATGTGATTGAGGGGTCGAGCTATGACCCCTAGTGAGGTTTATTGAGAGAGCAAACCTAGTCACTACATATGCATCTGTGTGTGATTCTTTCTGCATGTGTGTGATTGCCTAATTTGTTGCATGATTATATATTGCACTTCAATTTGTTTGATATGTATGTTTGTATAAATTAGAGGTAATGTGATTTCTTGGTGTGATCGTTTGCATGCATAGTGGGTTAGGACGCATTAGTAGTGTGTTATATGTCTTTTGGTAAGGTAGAGTATAGATGCCTAAGGGTACATGATGTTTTGTACCGGAGGATGTAGAGTGTGGCATTAGGATCATGCGTGGAGATGCGATCAAATGTGTAGAATCATTTATCTGAGAAAAGAGACCCTGTACAGGTGGAGTGTGAGAGAGGCACTTCTATCACTTCTGTAAGGTGGAGGCCCATTATCCACGTAGGTTGGGAGAAGTGATGTGGTGATAGAGGATTATCCCGTGAACTTAGGATCTATTGTGATTTGTCAGTTAGACATGAGTTGAGTGATCTATTTAGTGAGCATAGTGGACGATGAGAGGAAATATGTGTTCTCGAGGTGGGAGTAGCATGGAATGAGATAGGATAGGTGTAGTGAGATCTTTCGTGGGGTCATTTATGTATGTGTTGCATATGTGTTTGACTGTGTGCCGATTAACTTGGTGTTAATCGGTGATTCTATGTGAACGTGTTTTTTGGAAAGATTTGTATAGTATCCTATATAATATCTTCACCGCATGATTAGTTGTTCATTGTGATACTTGTTCCTACTTGGGTATTTCTTGACCTTAGCCCCAGTGAGTACATGGAGCAGGTATGGTATGTGTTTTTTGGTTCGAAACACGAGATAAGGCCTGTGAACCCAATTTTATTGGATTACCTTGATTTTACAAGTATAAACTGTGTGTTTTGATTTCTAGCAGGTTATTGGGCATCAATGTGGAGATTGTTGGGTTTTGATACCCAATAACTTCCCGGGCTATGATGTAAAATCGGTTTTAAATTTCAGTCGGCTTGGACCAAATGACTGAATGAAATGTCAACGCCACTATTAGAAAGACCCAACCCTAAATTTTATGGACCACCAGAAGTGACCTAATTTAATAGTGTCGCTCGTGGCTCGTTTCACCTTTTACTTGGACGACTTTATGTTGTTACCCATTTTGGAGCCCATTAACTTGAGTGTTGGGCCGTGACCTTAACCTAAACCTAACTTACCATTTTGGACTCTTTACTTGGGCTATATACTTGTCTCTTTTGCCTCCTATGAAGAAGGATCGCAGCCTCTGTTCTTTCTTCTCGTTTTCTCTGTGATTCTATTCGGCTGCTCTTCACCTGTGATACCTTTGTGGTCATTTCCTGTGTGGAATTAGTACATCTTGGTGAGCTTTTTGTGGGAAACTAAAGCAACGGTGAAGGGAAGAAACCGTTTAGGTCGATTGGGTCTGAGTTCGATAGTGGTGTTGATATTGGTGGTTAAATTGAGCCCGGAAAAACCTTGCATAAGGTGGATTTCATCCCTACAGATTTGACGTAGGTACTTGGTTTGATTTAGTTTTTTTTATCAAAACAATTGGTGGGTCGGTTCAGCCATGGTTTGAAGCCTCAAATCCCTGGTTAACTGAATCGACCTGACCCAGCCCACTTGAATGTTTACAATTTTTTAAGAAAAATAAAAATAAAAAGATAAGCCCTATAGCATAACTATATCTCGATTCCTTCTAATCTATGATGTTGCTAGTAAGTAATAGCACTGAAAATCTCATTTCATAAGCTCATTTCATTATATTTAACTCATTTTCCTACTCAGACAGTCAGGCTACATAATGAATAAAAAAATAAAAAATTTCTTCAATTTTTTGTTGATCTGTATCTATTAATTTGATTTTATTCGTTAGTCAACAATCTTAGTAATATAAAGTTATTTGGTTATTTTAGATCTTATAGTATAAGTGGTCCTAAAATTCGGACAATTTTTAAAAAAAATTCAATTTGAACAAAAAGTCCAAATTGACTAACTGAAGGTTTAAGAGCTAGAGTAGACTGGTTTGGGTTGATATTCGTCCAAACCAATTAATTTGATTTTGATTTTGGCTCGGAGTGTGACTCAAATCAAACCACGCTCAAGCCAAATTGATGAGTTTAAAAGTACTACGAAGTAAATAAAGGATAGGTTTGGGTTGTCAGGTTAATCATGGGTGGGGTTTAAGTGTTGTTTGGTTCAATGGGTGCAACGCCCATCGCTACTGCGAACGAAACAGTGGTGCCACCTTCTCTTGATTTTCCTCGGCTTCAGAAGATTCACAAATGAGAAATGATTTACCACATTGGAGTAAAATCGGGTGGGGTAGAGGAATTGGGTTATAGGGATGTAGATTCATTTTTTTTTTTTGTTAATATTAATATTAATATTCAAAAGTTGAGTTATTATCTGATTTTTTAACCAAAACCTATCAAATATGATTTTTGAATTTGAAAGTTAAAAATCACATAATGTGTGGTTGTAATTTCCTTTTTTTTTTTTTTGGGAAAAAAGTCATTGAAAATTTAGTTAAGCCCGTGTGAAATGGCCATTTTCCCACTTTTTTTTCTAGTCAAAAGTCCTTTATTTCGATTTTATTATTACAAAAAAAAAAAATTGACAGAAAATTACTATTTCATTTGTTTTTATTTAATTCTTCTTTTATTCAATTATAATTAAGAAATATTCTAATTTAACTTTTAATTCAGCCGACCTCAGAACGAGCAGTATAAAAACTGAGGGAAAAAATATTTTTCTCTACGTTTGAGCAAAAATATTGAAAAATCAGCCAACCCAATTGGTTTGGTTTATTTTTTAAACGAAATCATGGTAGATTGGTTCAACCATGGTTTGAAACCCCAAACCGGTGGTTAATCGAATTGACCCAACCCATTTACCTCTTTTGAAAAATAAAAATCAAAAGATAAGTGCCTAATCTAATAACTATATTTAGATTCTCTCCAATTTATGATATTGCTAGTAAGTAATAGACTGAAAATTATCTTTAACGAGCTCATTATGTGATACTTGGTCTTTTTTTCTACTCAAGTAGTTAAGCTACATAATACATAGAAAAAAATTCTTAAGTTTTCGTTAATCTGCTTTGTTAACCTGATTTTATTTGTTAATCAATAGTTTTTGTAATATAAAATTATTTAGGTGTTTTAGTTCTTGCAATTTAAGTAGGCCTAAAATTTGATCAATTTTTTTAAGAAAAGTTCAAACAGACTAACCAAGCCAATTGATTTGGTTTTGTTCAGTTTGGTTTAAGAGCTAGATTGAGTTGGTTTAGGTTGAAATTCACCCAAACTGATAAATGTGATTTTGGTTTCGGGTTTGAGTCAAAACCAACCCAAACTAAACTACGCCTAGACCAAGATCCAATTTTGTAATTAGCAAAATTAGCAATTTTCAAATTTGTAATTGGCAATTTTCATTATCAAATCATGTCCTAGTTGAATTGTATTAGGCGTTTATCGAGTTGTCAAAATAGGATTTATTGAGTCTAATTTATAGTTACAATAGTTTAGGATTGATAGAGTTCTTGGAAGAATCAAAGATGTTCAAGATGACCAAATATAACCAATAGAATGCAATAGAAGTCAAATGAAAGTCAAAGTGTTGCACATGTTTTGCTTCAAATTCTCAGTTACAAATTGCGAGACTTTTTTATATATTAAACATTTGAATTTGAAAAAAATGCTATTTCTAAGATAATTGTAGCTATTTGTTCCAACACACTTTGAATTACCTCAGTTTGACATCAAGAGAGAAAATTATAACGAAAATATTGATGACTATTCATAGACCACTCGCTGGCCTCCCGATAGGCATTCAAGTGGTAGCTCAATTCGAGGAGCAGTCAAATTCGATTTTAAAGCTGATTTTGACTTCTTTTTCATTCTAAGCACCTTCGCTATAAATATACAACCTCATGAATATCTATCCCAAGGGATGTTGAATCATTATTTTGCTTGGAGATCTTATTGTTAAAGATTATAACACATTCCATTAATTCTATTGATTCAACCTCAAAATCTTTATTCATATATTAGATCCCATATATTGATTCTTCATTAATAGAACCTCATTGTAATTCAAGAGTTTGTTTTTTCAAAGTCAAATACATATTTCAATATCTCTTGCATCTGCCTACAGATCAAAATGTAAAAAGATCAAACTCCAAAATAAAGACAGGTTCGTTGTTCTTAATCTATGCGAAGAGAAAAGTAGCTCATAGTTCTGAGAAGTGCAGGCGTGCACAACCGAAAGAGTTCCTCGATGATTTAAATGTTAGGTGGTCAGAGAGAGCTAAGGTTTAGTAGTGTTTGAACTAGTTTTAAGTTAACTATTCTAATGAATTTTACTGGTAAGTTGCCTTGAGGTTTTTTTATCTAGTTAGAGATTTTCCTCCGTGATCATATTTGGTATTATTTATTGCTTTTGATCTTTATTTATTTTATTTAATTAACACATAGGATTAATTAAATTGGATTAATTACCTTAATCATTTAGAAACCAATTAAAAAGTGACATGTAGCTTTTAATTTCTCTAATTCCGTACTTGAGTCTAAACAACTACAATTTCCAACAAGTGATATTAGCTCAATGCATACTTAGAATTTTTTTTAATTGTTATTAGAGCCTAGTAGTGATCCTTGACCAAAAGTTTTATCTAGATGAGTTAATCACTTTTTGATTCGAGATCCAAGTGTTATATGGATATTCTAGAGGCTTATATTGAGTTGTTCTTCTTCTGTTTGAGGCATTTGTTTTTTAGAATCTTCAAACTCTTCATCATATTCGTCTTCTGATTACTTGCAGTTGGAATTTCTTTTTCTATAGATTTTGTTTTGTTTATAGAAAAACTACTTCCATTTTGATATCTTTGATTTGGCATTCTAATTTTAAAATTTGAACCTTCAGAAGTTGACGTTTGACTTTGCAACGCTACACTGCGATCGACGATGGCTCCATACTGGGAAAGGGGTTTCCGGAGGGGGGGATCTTTAGATTTATGGTTTCAGGTCGCTGCTGGATTCTTGTTTCAATCTATTTATTATTTGAGTCATATTAAACAGTTCTTTTGGTTGATTTTAAGGTCATAATAATTGATTAATTTTTTTTTAATTAAATGTCTTCAATTTTCTCTCTCAATTATTTATTGAATAATTTCTTTTTCTTGAGTAAGTACATTAACAAATTTAGTTTTCTAGTTACGGACAGTTTCTTTGCAACCACAAATTTGTTTGTCATTACTTAACGCTGAAGAAGTTGAGTTTTCATCGAAATTAGAATCATCTTAATTTTGTTAAACTTATTCTTCTTTAGGATCTGAATATTTTCAGGACTTGAATTGACTAAATTTAAAAGTTGAGACTTAAATTCTTCATTTATTTGAAGATTATTGATTTAGTTCTTCATTGGACATTGTTTTGTGTTATGTTGTGATTCAAATTCCATGTGATTTGAAAGTTTGAATCATTGAAGAATTTTAGATAATTTTGGTTTGGAAGTCCGAATTGATAAAAGATCAAATTTCATTATGGATTGGAAGTTTGATTGGGGAAAGGATTTTGGAGTGGATAAGTGTTTTGGAAATATTGGGTCACAGGCGACAATAGAGCTGGCAAAGTGAAAAAGGGAAACAACAGTCCAACGCCCTAGCACCTATCAAGGGTGGTGTCAAGTGAGTGGATCGGCGACACCACCTGGATAGGAGAGGAGATCTCCTAGTTGATTTCAACTGCGATTCTTATATACTCTGAAAACTCGAGATGATTGTTCAGATTTAGATTGTAAGTATCAAATCTTGTAAAACAATTTTAATTTCTTGATAATATGAAATTCTAGTCCTCTTCCACATAAATCTTGGGCTCTTATGGGATCTATTATTTTTCATATTGTTCTTATTTTCTCCTCTTTATTATTTGTCACGCTTCTCAACAATTTGTTATCATAGCCAAGATTTTTTGTCGATTCTTGGGGTACAAAATGGTTATTAAAGCGAGGTTCGAACAATGTCAATTATTTCAAGGATGGCAACTATGAAATTTGAGATTCCGCCTTTTTAGCATGACTGTAGATTTTCTATCTAGCAGATTAAAATGGGCAATTATTTCTTAATTGGACTTAGATGATGCTCTGTTGGGGGTTAATAGAATGCTTGCGACAATGACCGTAGAGGAGAAGAAACGCAAGGATCGAAAAGCCCTATCACTAATACATCTTCTTCTTTCTAATCAAATTCTTCAAGACGTGGTAAAGGAGAAAGTGCCGCCGATTGTGGTTGAAATTGAAGCAGTTTTGTATGATAAAGAGTTTGACCAGTAAG